CGGCAGTTAACTGCCAATCTTAGTTGGCAGTTAATTTGCATATAGCCCTGATTAGCCAACGAAAAGGGTAGCGTCGTATGCCAATTACCATTTTTCTCTTTTATTAGTGTAGATTCACACTATGTCCATGTATATGTCAATGTCATCCTGCATACTTGAGATTTTACATAAAACAAAATTTCTTAGACTCTACTCCTGCTCAGATCAATAGAATCAGTATTGTTAAATAGATTTATTAACATGTAGAATAAAATTATGTACATATTTTGCCAGTATCAATAGGAAGCCCTTGATCTCTATTTCCTGGCTTTTTCAATCCAAAGAAGTTATTACTGAAAGTAAAGAGATGGAAAAAATATTTCGTGCAAATAAAAAAAAGCTTGGATAGCTTATATCAGACAAAATAAAATTCAAAATAAAGCCCATAATGAGATACAAAAAAAGGCCACCACATAATACTAAAGGGATTGATTCAACAAGAGGATATAACCCCTGTAAATATATATGCAACCAACATAGGAGCAACTAAATATATAAAGAAATTATTGGTAGACATTAAGTGAAAGATCAAGAGCAATACAGTAATAGTAGAGGGTTTTAACACCCACTGACATCAATGGATAGATCTTCCAGACAAAAATTCATCAACAAGGCAACAGCAATGTTAAACAACACATTGGATTAGATGAATTTACAGAACATTTTATCTTAAAGCAACAGAAATTACACTCTTCTTAAGTGCACATGAAAATTTCTCAAAGATAGACCACATGTTAGGACACAAAATAAGTCTTAACAAATTTAAAAAGATTAAAATTATATCAAGCATCTTCTCTAACCACAATGGTATAAAACTAGAAATTAATTACAATTTAAAAAAACAAAAACTAAAGGCTAAACATGGAGGCTAAATAACATGTTATTAAACAATGAATGGGTTACCAGTGAGATCAAAGAAGAAATAAAAAGCTGCCTAGAAATGAACTAAACTGAACACACAACCACCCAAAATCTCTGGGACACAGCAAAAGCTGTCCTGAGAGGGAAGTTCACAGCAATATAGGCCAACCTTAAGGAGCAAGAAAAAAAATCAAACAATCTAACCCTATACCTAAAAGAAGTAAAAAAATAAATAAATAAATAGCAATAAGCAACCCCAGAATAAGTAGAAGGAAGGAAATAATTAAGATTAGAGTGGAAATAAATGACATAGAGACTAAAAAGGCATTACAGAAGATCAGTGAAGCCAAGAGCTGGTTCTTTGAAAAGATAAACAAGATTGATGAACCTTCAACCAGACTCATCAAAGAAAAAAAAAGAGAGGTTCCCAAATAAATAAAATTAGAAATGAAAGAGGAGAACTAACAACTGATACCATAGAAATACAAAGGATTGTAAAAAAAAAAAAAATACTATGAATAACTATATGCCAACAAATTAGACAACCTGGGCAAAATGGAACATACAATCTTCCAAAACCAATTTAGGAAGAATCAGAAAATTTGAATAGATCAATTATAACTAAAGAAATTGGAGCAGTAATTTTTTAAAAAACTCTTTTTATGAGGCCAGCATTATCTTCATTCCAAAACCAGATAAAGACACTACAAAGAAAGAGAATTACAGACCAATATCGCTAATGAACATAGATGCTAAAGTCCTCAACAAAATATTAGCAAATTGGATCCAGCAACATATTAAAAAGATCATACACCATGACCAAGTGTGATTTATTCCAGGGATGCAAGGCTGGTACAATAGTCACAAATCAATAAACATGATACATCACATAAACCAAGTGAAAGACAAAAATCACATGATCATATCAATACACAGAAAAGGCATTTGACAAAATCCAACACCCATTTTTGATAAAAATTCTCAGCATAATGGGAATAGAGTGAATATATCTCAACATGATAAAAGCTATACATGACAAGCCTACAACAAACATCATACTTAATGGGAAAAAACTAAAACCATTTCCCTTAAGAACAGGAACAAGACAGGGATGTCCACTATCACCACTCTTATTCAACATAGTATTAGAAGTCCTAGTCACAGCAATCAGACAAGAAGAAGAAATAAATGACATTCAAATGAAAACTACAGGACGTTGAAAAGAGAGATAGAGGAAGATATTAAAAAGTGGAAGAATATGCCGTGTTCATGGATTAGAAGAATTAACATCATTAAAATGTCCACAATACCCAAGGCAATCTACAGATTCAATACAATCCCTCTTAAAATACCTACAGCATATTTCACAGATCTAGAACAAATACTCCAAAAATTTATATGGAACCAAACAAGACCCAGAATAGCTGTAGCAATCTTGAGAAAGAAGAACAAAGTTTAAGGAATCACAATACCAGATATCAAGTGATACTACAGAGCCACTGTACTCAAAACAGCCTGGTATTGGCACAAGAACAGGTGTATAAACCAATGGAACAGAAAAGAGACCCTAGAATTGGCCCAAGCCATTATGCTCAGTTAATATTCAACAACGGAAGCAAGAGGATACAATGGAGTCAAGACAGTCTCTTTAATAAATGGTGTTGGGAAAATTGGACAGATACATGCCAAAAAAATGAAACTAGACCACCAACTTACACCATACACAAGAATAAACTCAAAATGGATAAAAGATTTAAATGTAGGTCAGAAAACCATAAAAATCCTAGAAGAAACCATAGGCAGCAAAATCTCAGATATCTCTGGTAGCCATATGTTTATGGATACATCTCCTAGGGCAAAGGAAACTAAGGAGAAAAAAACAAATGGGACGACAGCAAAATAAAAAGCCTCTGCACAGCAAAAAAACTATCAACAAAATGAAAAGGGAGCCCACAGTATGGGAGAACATATTTGGCAATGATACATCTGATAAAGGGTTAATATCCAAAATATATAAGGAACTCATACAATTTAACAAAAGGAAGACAATCCAATTAAAAAATGGGCAAAGGATCTAAATAGTAGACATACAGATGGCCAAGAGACAAATGAAAAAAATGCTCAAAGTCACTGATCATCAGAGAGATGTAAATTAAAACCATAATGGGGTTTCACCTCACACCTGTCAGGATGGCTACCATCAACAAATCAACAAATGACAAGTGCTGGTGAGGATGTGGAGAAAAGGGAACCCTAGTACACTGCTAGTGGGAATGCAGACTGGTGCAGCCATTATGGAACACAGAATGGAGTTTCCTCAAATATGGAATTGCCATTTGACCCAGTGATCCCACTTCTACGAATATATCGTAAGAAACCTGAAGCACCAATCAGAAAGAATGTATACACCCCTATGTTCATAGCAGCACAATTTACAATAGCTAAGATTTGCTGATAGACAGCCCAAGTGCCCCTCAGTAGGTGAGGGGGTAAAAAAGCTGTGGTACATTTATGCCATGGAATCCTATGCAGCAGTAAAAAAGAAGGGTCCCTTAGAGACAGCATGGAGGGACCTGGAGAGCATCATGCTAAGTGAAATAAGCTGGTCAGAGAAAGACAAGTGTCACATGATCGCACTCATAGGTGGAAT